TTCATACTTGAATTGTTTCATATTGAATTGTTAGAACTATAAAAAAACTGACATTGAATTGTGTAATGAATATCTTGACTTTTTAATAACTCCATAACAATTTTTGGAAAATTTCTGTGATGATCACCCTTATTGTTTAAAATAAATAAATAAAAAAAACAATAAAACCAGCCTAACTGAAGAATGTCCCAAAAAGTAAATCAGAGTTTCACAGGAATGAACTGATTTCTTTAAGTATAGTATTAAGAATAGGACATGGACATGATATGACAATATGACAATGATATGAAAATGATATGATGTAGACAATGATAATGAAATTATCATTTGGATAAAATAATTTTTGGGAACAATTTTTTTACTTTTGTTGGGTGTTTGATTTAAAAAAAAGAATCAAAAATTTGATTGAAATTTGGTTCCTTTGATCCCTTGTAGATCAAATCAAATTGAAATTTTCTTTGTGATTGATTTAATTAAATAAATGTCAGTTACTTTTTGTTAATATATAAAGTATAAAGTATAAAGTAAAATTGCTACAAAATTTTATGAATTTTTGTAGAATTTGTTTAGTTTAGAACTAAGAAAAATTCAGGATTTAATTTTTATTATTTGTTTGAAAATTTCAGAAAGAAAAGAGAAAAACAGCCTTTGATTATCATAATTGAAGCAACATAGCAAAACTGTCATTTTTAATTTTTTTGGTGTACCATTTTGATTTTACCTAATACTAATGCAGATGGTTTAGATTACTGTAGCAAGTTTTTTAATTGTAAATAATTGATTGGTTTAGATTGGTAACTAATTAGTAAAAATGTTTTTTTATATCTTGCACAAAAACTAGTCTTGTCAGTGTGTACTCTTGAATTAAAAAAAAAATTATTATTATATTTGTATTTTTAATTTAAATTGTGCACAAAAAAATCAAAAAAACTAAACATATTATATTTTTTGAATTTTCATTCTTTTGCTCATTTGTGCATGTGTTTCCCAAAACTTCATCTAATGGTGTTAATTGCCTTCTTTAATTTATGAAATAACCCATCATTACCTTCCAAGAGACTTTGTTACTTCTAGGAAACCATCCACAAACATTTTTTGCAATTACATTACACTAACTATGCTAATTTGAATAATTATAGTGTATATACTCATGTGTGGACATGGTTATCACAATCATTGTCTACAAAGGTGCCAATCTAAATGTTTGATATCTTGGACTATCTTCAAGTCAAAATAAAAACACACTAAAAAAAGTATGATGAAAAGATTAAACGAAAATGATTTTATCGAAAATAATGAAAATACAATTGATGATGATCTGGGCAATCATATATCTTAAATTTGTTGTGTTTACAATCATTTCATTGACATTCATTATATTAAGGTTATTTTGATTATATCAAGAGATATGGTCAAGAGAAGAGTTAGGAAGAGAGTTATTCTTCAACCAAGTTGAAAACCAACCCTTTAAATACATTTTTGAGTAGTACAATTTAATTTATTAGACTATTTCAAAGGTTTGTTGCATGGTTGCTTCTAACTTCTTAAATTCGAACCATTTGTTAACAAAACAACTGTTAGTGAAGTGATTGCTGACAACATGAATTTATTTTTACATTATCAAATTCGTGCCTGTTCTTATTCCTCCACTCAAACAAATAATTGTTCACAACACAATGAACACTATTTGGAATGTAATTGTTTTTAATGTGTCAATTCTTAGTAAATGTTCTGGTCTTGGGGCAGTTCTTGTTATCTTCTAAACAACTGTGTTACTAGTGAGGTTGATTGATTTCCTGGAACATAAAGGTTGTTACAATTTCACCATTAGTTGTTCCATATTGGCAGTATGGTGCAGACCAAAACCAATTAGTAATTTATTTATTTGAACATGTCGGCGTGTAATCTTTTCTTTTAAATAATTCATTTCAAATATTGAAATATAAAATAAATGCTTTCTAAATGTCAGATGAGAGACATTGAAATTTTAAAAGAGGTGTTCAAAATTTTAATGCTTTGATTATAATTCTCTAAACAATCACAATTCTTCAATTATGACACTGGAACAATAATTGGTTCAGATAATGATGAATTAGATGATGAAATTTGGCATTATGATGCTTTGAGAATGATTTTTAAATTTTTTTTAACTACATGAATACAAATTCCATTTAGAAAATGCATAAAGTGTAAATTATATATATACAGAGGTTTTAAAATAAATTGCATTTATTTGAATCCTTTTTTTATTGATCACTACATGCCAATAAAAACAACGGAAACAAGGATTCCCAAAGAAGAAACATCTATCTGACATATCAAAAGCCATTAAATTGTTATTAAATATGACCAGGAAGATTTTCTTAAAATAAAACAAAGTTTATGCACCAATTGTAACTGGAAAATACCTTTTATTGATTGTATGATAATGGTATAGATTAATAAACTGTTGCAATTTAATTATTATTTCTAAGTAAAATTCTTTTTTTGCAGAAATGCAAATAAAGATATTCAGTTGAGTATTCTAAATAAGCAATTATATATATTCTAACAAATATCAGAGTTTGAACTCCTAGCAATATTTCATACACTTATCAATTTTATTGAATTAAGGGCAGGTATTAAATTATTTTTACACAAAAATATTTATAATATTTTTTTCTTTGGATAAAATAGTGTTATAGCCTGTCAAGACCTTATTATTATTCGGTAATTAATGGATTACCAAGTTGCAACACTAGGATAAAAATCGATATACTAAGAAATGCGCAAATCAAAAAGTAAAAAAAGGTGATTATATTCTTTCGCCATATAACAATAAGGATTTTACTGATTGAATATTTGAAAATGATAAAGACCTTCTTTCATTTAACATTTCTGGAGTTAATTTTTAATCGAGGTGGTGCAATATCATATGAAGCCAAATAATGGTTACGTTCATCACAAATGCTTGTAAATTTGATGATATTGAAAAAAGAGAAAGTGGCTATCCACTGGCAATCAATTTTATTTAAGGCTATATTATGAGTATTATCAGCATCAACATTTTTTTTTTTGGCTCATAAGTGCAAGTATTCTTCTCTGATTATTGTTTATCATTAGTATCAAATTCCACTCTCTAGGCTTAATGGTTCCAAATCTTCAATATCAAAATTGATTTCAAATGCCTCAGTGTCCAAATATTTAAGAAATTAATAAAGATAGGTGTTGTTTGTAAAATACAAAAAGAAGAATTCTACATTTTCAAGATTGTTTACAAAATATTCATTTATGTCTATGTCTACATTGTTGTAATTGGTAAAAACACAATGTATAAATTTAAAATACCTCTTCTAGGCATTTTTTTTAATCTGATAATTGATGATACACAATCATATACAAATGTCCATAGTGTTTTGATATTTGTTTTAAGACCACCACCATTAATATTATAATCATCCATCAATTGTTTAAGATGATAAAAAAAAATTATTATTAGTAAGATTATTTTTACAACTATTATAATTAAAATTTATTTAATTACCTAATGTTAAATTTTCTGCATGTTCAAGACCTTTATCAATTTGTGCTTACTTCATTATCAAGTAAGTGACCAGCGAGAGCTTTTCTTGAAGGTGGTTGATAACCAGGATTTAATGCTTTTAAAAAATTAATGAAAAATGGGTTTTCTACAAGGCAGAAAGGTTAATTTTATTATAATTTCAAGATGACATATGAATTCATTGGAAGTATCTTTATACATTTAATTCATCAAA